TCACATAGCCTTTACAACAATAAGGCAGGTGCTATTATCCTGTCCCTTTTACAAACGGAAAAGGAACCTGGGGCACAAAGATGTACAGTGCCTTGCACAAGGACACACAGCTAATAAACGGCAGAGCCAGGGCGTGAACTCAAGCAGAAGAACAAAAGAATCTATATTTTTAGTCATATATTAGACTGCCTTATTATACAGAAAAAAAATGAGATTAAAAAATATATTAAAAATAATGGAACAAGAAAAAGCCTCTCAAGAAACATTGCTCTTATTACTTTATTTTTATTTATTTGTTTAAGACAGCATCTTGCTCTGTTGTCCAGGCTGGAGCATAGTGACACAAACATGGCTCACTGCAGCCTCAGCCTCCTGGGTTTAAGCAATCCTCCTGCCTCGGTCTCCTGAGTAGCTGGGACCACAGGTACACACCACCCTGACCAGCTGATTTTTATTTTTTGTAGAGACAATGTTTCACCATGTTGCCCAAGCTGGGCTCAAACTCCTAGGCTCAAATGATCCCCCCCACCTTGGCCTCCCACAGTGCTGGATTACAGGTGCGAGCCACCACACCTGGCCTGTTCCTTAATTGGACTCTTGTCCTTTATTACCAACGGATTGGCCCAAGTCCTAGAAACGCAGTCACCAGTGGGAGCCTGTCCTGTCTGGCCGGGCTTCTGATGAAGAAGGCAGAAAATCTGTACCTTTTTGCCATCTTTTTCCACCTTGAAAGTGAATAGAAAGAGAAGATACAGTTTGTCATAGAAACGTTCTCTTCCTGGCTACAGTGTTTGGATTCAAGGAAGAGTGGCAGAACTGGAGTTCAAAGACTGTTGAGGTTGCTACCAAATCCTGTCCCACCCATAGGGCCAAAGGGATTCAGGTCAGTTCTCAGCCAAGCTTCTCATTTAGTCTGAACTGAAAGAAGCAGAGTAGCCAGAGACTCCACTTCTCTTGGCTGGAGCAGGCTGACCAGGGATACTGGATCAGGGTCCCCTCACTCTGCAGGCTTTCTCTTCCCCTTCGCCATGCAGGAAGTCCTGGGGCCACACCAGAGCCTCACAAAACTGTCCAGAGGAAGCCAGTGGTCTGCACCCTTGGATGTCAGTGCACCCACACTGACCGTATGTTTATGATCAGGCATCCAGCCCAGACAAAGTTGAGCTCTGCAGCTTTAAATCCAAAACCAGTGTTCACTTCTATGAGGCCGGAGTGGGTCCCGGAGACGGACCTCTCCAGTCATGACGAGTGAGTAACATACTAATCCAAAGGGCCAGACCAAATCCCCAAAGTCCAAATTTCACCACCTCCCGACTATCGATCACATTCTTTCTCCCTAGAAATCTGAAAACCATCTACCAACCTTCTTATTAAAACAAGTCCAACTGCCTTAACTTCAGGATTATAGATTTGCTGATAAAATCGTTCGTATAAATGCAAAGTTCTATTACCATCTAATTACAATTTCTGCACAGATATATAATACTGTGTGTTTTGGAAGCTGAAATAGTATGTGTTTTGGAAGCCAAAAAAATTAAGCTTCAGGCCGGGTGCAGTAGCTCACGCCTGCAATCCCAGCACTTTGGGAGGCCGAGGCGGGCAGACCACAAGGTCAGGAGACCGAGACCATCCTGGCTAACACAGTGAAACCGCATCTCTACTAAAAATACAAAAAAAAAAAAAAATAGCCAGGCGTGGTGGCGGGCGCCTGTAGTCCCAGCTACTCGGGAGGCTGAGGCAGGAGAATGGCGTGAACCCGGGAGGCGCAGCTTGCAGTGAACCGAGATTGAGCCACTGCACTCCAGTCTGGGCAACAGAGCAAGACTCTGTCTCAAAATAAATAAATAAATAAATAAATAAATAAATAAGCTTCAATTACTTTTGTGCCTACCACAACAACAGGCAGAAACAGGAAAATTCTGTATAAATAATTTTTTTTTAATTTTTTCCTTTTTTTTTTTTTTGGTGTTTTCTCACAGTTCCAGTCAACGTGAGAGGAACCAGGCAAAATGCAGGCTTAACATATATGGTCATCCCCGGGCTTTTTTACTATATAAAGGAGAAATTAATAAAAGAAAAAAGAAATACCACATAGCATTTTCTTTCCCCACCACAATTTTTCAATTTTCTTTAGAGAAATGCCAGCCAATAACTAATCAGAACCATACCCTTTGTTATCCCAATGGGAAGAAGTATACACATGGGTTTAAAGAACAAATGTTAATGAGAACTTTAAAAAAAATTAGCAATCTGGAACTTCGGTTTCCCTTCAGTGTAAAACAAAATTCCCTTCTCTAGATCTATTTTTATAGTTGGTGAAATGACGTAGACACGGTCCATCAAGAAGACGTGTTCACCCATCCAGTACCCTCAGCTGGCAGAACTCTGGCTCTTCACTTGTTCTGATGGTGAAATTAGCATCATTAGCTCACAGGCTTCTGAGCACCCTAACTTCAAATGAGACAAAAACTCAGTTACAGAAAAGGTATTTGTTCCACATCTCTCTGGTTTCAAGAGGGAAAATAATTCCTTTTTTTTTTTTTGGCTCATGCTGGGGTGCAATGACACGAACTTGGCTCACCACAACCTCCACCTCCCGGGTTCAAGCGATTCTCCTGCCTCAGCCTCCCTAGTAGCTGGGATTACAGGCAGGAGCCACCACACCCGGCTAATTTTGTATTTTTAGTAGAGACAGGGTTTCTCCATATTGGTCAGGCTGGTCTCAAACTCCCGACCTCAGGTGATCCACCCACCTGGGTCTCCCAAAGTGCTGGGATAACAGGCGTGAGCCACCCGGCCCGGCAATAATTCCTTTTAAAGTCAGTACGTAGCTTTTGTAATTTCCAAGAGTATGTTTTCCATAAGAAGGGCAGCTGCAGTCTTTTTACCTGGTATACATCCCTGAGAATAAGAATGTTTCTGGGGTCAGATCTTGAGTGGTTTGTTCACGACCAAGGGCAGAAACTACCTCCTTGAAAACTGGACTGGATTTAGAGAATAAAGTACAGGATGTAAGTCAGAAAAACTCTGGGCAAAAAAATAAATGTTTAAGATGCTAACGCACCAGGATTTGGGCATGTCCAGCACTCTGAACTGTATTTTCAAATGAGTCTGTCCTGTGTCATCCAGGTTCGGAGGAATCAGCAGGTCCAGGCTAGGGCTGCAGAATACTTTTTGTCACTCAAAGAGCCTGTCCAGGGTATAGAGAGCCACCCATGGCCCGTGTCCTACCAAATATTCTCCTTTCTCAGAAAAAGCTCCAAGCATTTGCAAAACATCTGTTTGCCCCATATTTTTACTATCCAAAAAATGTATTTCCTCTTCAGTAAAAAACACAACAATAGGCTGTTAAGCCGGTAACATTTTACCATAATTCTATGTTTTCAAAAGCTAGAAATCATTTGTATTGCCGGATAAGGACATTATTTTAAGTAGACTTTAGTCTACAACAGAAACTTGCCACAACAATGAACATCTTTTTTGGTAAATCACTTTCCGAACATTATTTCTCCACGAACGTATCACAAAAACCACCACCAAGGAAAACAAAGGATTCTTGTATTTTGAATCAAAAAGTACTGGCCGTGCATATTCATACTGTATCAAGCATGTCAATCAAAATGGGCAAAATAACCTAAAAAGCGGTAAAAATGCCAACTCTTGCCTCTGAGTGGTTAGTGAACCTATGTTTTCCCAACGTTAAATTTACAAACTGCATCGCATCAACTGTATTTCATACTTTAAATCCCAAATCTCGACCTCACACTGCTTTGGGATGGATGATTTGCTCAAGACATTTGGGGTCACAGAATAAGCCTTTTGCTCCCACCAAACCTAAATCATGCTTCTCAACAAGATTCTGTACATATAAAAGGAACACGTGGCACGCCTCGCCATGCTCCCCAAAGGAAACTAAACGCCCCCAGAATAGCCCTTCTGTCCACTCCAGAAGCAGGCTTTCCTCAAAAAGGGAAGGGGGCTGGATTCACACGTTGCATCAGATCCACTCACGAAGCAACAGCGCTCCAAAACTTTTTCTGACTCCATTCATTAGAAAATGTCCTGGATGTGCCGTATTATAACAGAGACAGACATCCTCCCACAAGGGACACACTCAGAAACCCAAACTCATCTCGGCAACAAACTGGGAGGCATGAGAAGTTGACAGCTAAGTATCCATTTCCCCAAATCCTCCTTCCAGTCAATGTGCATCGACGGGGTCAGCTCAGCCCTCAATTCGAAGATCGCCGGGACCACAGGGGCCACCACGAAGCTGAGCTCTGCACGGCCCGGGCTGTTCCCGCGCCCGGGAGGCGTCTGGGGAGGAGGCTGGACCACCAGACAATGCAGAGCTCCCCGGTGGCCGCGAACTCGGCCTGGGGCGGGGGAGACGGAGCCGTGAGCGCCCTTCTCGGCCACAGCCACGGCCACGGTCACCGGCCGCCTCTCCTGACCTGGGCCTCGGCCCCCAGGTCCCCGGTCCCCGGGGAAGGCAGGTTTCTCCCGGAAAGAAAGGAAACGTGCTGGTTTGGGCACCACAGGCCGGGGGCGCGCGCCCTCCCCTCCCCTCCCCACTGTGGGAATCCACGGGGGTCGGCGGCGGAAGCAGGAAGGGGCCCCTCCCGGCGCCTCCGCTCGGGGGTGAAGGGGTCGCAGAACCGGGATCCCAGAGCGCAGCCGCCCCCACCCGAGGCTCCCAGCGCGTAAGGACGGAGGGGCTCGAGCCGGGGTCCCAGGGGCCGAGGCGGGTCCAACTTTCCAGGCCGGGCGCAGCGCAGCACCCGAGCCAGAGAGGGGTCCTGGGATGGGGGTGCGGGCTCAGCGCGAAGCGGGAGGGGCAGAGGAGGGGACGGCGGGGTGGGGGGGAGGGGAGCAGTGGGGTGAGGGGCGGGGAGAGGACAGTGGGTTGGGGGACGGGGGGCAGGAGTCAGGGGGGTGGGGGGCGGACAGGGGTAAGGGGGTGGGGGCGGGCTGGGGCCGGCGACGCCCGCGCCGCTCACCTTCCTGTGCTTCTCCTTGTAGGGCAGCGCCAGCCACGGCATGTCCCGCACGAAGTCCTGCCACTGCCGCTGGTCCTGGTCCGAGGACACGAAGACGATCTCCAGGCGCCGCCGCGGCTCGGGCTCCGCCGCCGCCCCGGCCCCCGCCCCCGGCCCCGGCCCGGCCGCCGCGTCCCCCCGCAGGCGCCCGTAGAAGGCGGCCAGGCTGGCGCTGAGCTGCGCGCAGGGGGCGCTGAGGCTACAGCCGAAGTAGAGCCCCAGCAGCGAGATGCCGCGGGCGCCCAGCGAGTGCACGTCCACCTCCTCGCCGCCGCCCGTCACCAGCTTCTCTCCGAGCAGCTCCTCCAGGAAGCCCGACATCCTGGCCCACCGCAGGGCGGGCAGGCGGCTGCGACCCCGCTCCACGGTCCGCGCGGAGGCAGCAGGCGGCGGCGGCGGCGGCGGCGGCGGGCGCTGGGGAGAGCGGAGCCCCGCCCACCAGGGCCGCCCACGCCACGCCCCCTCCGCCCGCCTGCGCCACGCCCCCTCAGAGGCCCTCGCCACGCCCCCTCCGCCCGCTCTCGCCACGCCCCTCCACGCTCGCCACGCCCCTCCACGTTCGCCACGCCCCCTTTGCGGCCGGCCGGGGCCCGAGCTCTCCTCCCAGGCGGGGTCCGCAGCTGCCGGCCGCGGTGCGCGGGGTGACCGCTTGGGCGAGAAGCCAGACCCGAAACGCTGCACTCTCCCTGGAAAGCCCGGAGCCGAAGTGAAGAAAGGAGAAGGACCCGCTGAGCCGGCGCTTTCCCGGGCTGCAGCGCGGCCCGCATTTTCTCTCCACTCCCGGATTCTAAATTCCCTCCAGACCTTCTCCAGGGATCCCGCCCCCTCCCCGCGGAGCTCCTCACCCCCTTCTTGTTCCTCCCGGGCCTTTCCTCGCTCCTCTCCCTGCACGAAACCTGACCCTTAGGCCGCTCCGGGCCCCATTGACCCTAAGATGCTTCTAGGACCCGCCGTCCTCACTGCATCAGGCCGGGCCTGGCTGGACACTGACTCTTCTGTGTGTTTCAAGCTGTTCTAAGGGGGCCGAGGACGCTCTCGCAGCTTCTGGTGGGGTCGGGTTAGGGTGCCAGGTCTCAGTGTGGGATTTCCGTCCAGGGGTCGCCGGGGCCGCTGCCCCTAGCGAATCTGTCTTCCAGCCCCACAAATGGATGCAGAGGACCCGCGGGGCCTCCAGACCAACGCTGGCCGTGCTCCTGAATCCGCTCCATCCTTATGGCAAGTCTATGGATAGTTGAGAACATTTCGAGAGATTTTTTTTTTCCCTGCCAGCTGGCAGGATACTCGCCGATGCTTGGGGAGAAACTGGATTAAACAGGTGGTCTGGGCCGGGCGCAGTGTAATCCCAGCACTTTGGGAGGCCGAGGTGGGTGGATCACAAGGTCAGGAGTTCGAGACTAGCCTGGCCAATATGGTGAAACCCCCGCCTCTACTAAAAATACAAAAAATAGCCGGGCGTGGTGGCGCACACCTGTAATCCCAGCTACTCGGGAGGCTGAGGCAGGAGAATCGCTTGAACCTGGGAGGCGGAGGCCGCAGTGAGTTGAGATCGCGCCACTGCACTCCAGCCTGGACGGCAGATCGAGACTCCGTCTCAAAACAAAGCAAAACAAAACAAACAAACAAAAAACAGGTGGTCCGTGGCGACTCCTCGGGCCACCCAGCGCCTCCCCCCAACCCAATCCACAGGCGCACGAAGCAGGTGCAGATCCGAGCCCAGCCACAATAACAGGCCGCCAGTGTGGATCAGCTACTAACGACTCAGCGAAAGCAAAAAAATAAAAGCTGAAAACCCGCCCCTCAGAGCTTCCACCGCGCTTTGGAGAGTATTTCCCGGGTATCCATCGCCACCTAATGGAAAGAGTGAAAAATGGGGCCGACCAAACTCCATCAGTGAAAAGACACTGCCGGGACACCAGGCACACCGCTTTTATTTTACAGCAGCTTTCCACATACACAAATGATAGGACACTCTGCGGGAGCTAATTTAAACCTCAGAATATAACTTCAAGCTTTTGGCACAAAACATACACGTTCATATAGAAGGTTCTCCGGTTTTCTAGGGTAGAAGAAGGAATGGTGCAGGGTTTCAGCTCGGTGAAATGTTGACACATAAAACAGGTGGGAGGCCGGGCGCGGTGGCTCAAGCCTGTAATCCCAGCACTTTGGGAGGCCGAGGCGGGCGGATCACGAGGTCAGAAGATCGAGACCATCCTGGCTAACACGGTGAAACCCCGTCTCTACTAAAACTACAAAAAAACTAGCCAGGCGAGGTGGCGGGCGCCTGTAGTCCCAGCTACTCAGGAGGCTGAGGCAGGAGAATGGCATGAACCCGGGAGGCGGAGCTTGCAGTGAGCTGAGATCCGGCCACTGCACTCCAGCCTGGGCGACAGAGCGAGACTCCGTCTCAAAAAAAAAAAAAAAAACAACAGGTGGGAGAGGTGCAGATGAGAGCAGAAAGTGGATTGGTGTCTTTACCAGTTATATCCACTTCCTTAGTCACCTGATAGTATTGCTCATGACACAGGTAAGATCTTAGATGGAGGACCGCCTTCCAGCACGCTAGAATCCTACTGTAAAGTCGAATTCCACCTTAATTCTTAGGAGACTGTCATGCTGAAAGTATGTGCCACTGTAGGGACAATATTATTCTAAAACACACACAGAAAGCATCACTTTTTAGTGAAACCTTTTTTTTTTTTTTTTTTTTTTTGAGACAGTCTTACTCTGTGGCCCAGGCTGGAGTGCAGTGGCGCGATCTCAGCTCACTGCAACCTCCACCTACCGGATTCAAGTGATTCTCCTGCCTCAGCCTCCCAAGTAGCTGGGATTACAGGCATGCACCACCTCCCAAGTAGCTCTGATTACTGGCATGCACCGACTAATTTTTTGTATTTTTAATAGAGACAGGGTTTTCACCATATTGGCCAGGCTGGTCTCAAACTCCTGGCCTCAAGTGATCCGCCCGCCTCAGCCTCCCAAAGTTCTGGGATTACAGGCATAAGCCACCGCCTGGCCTTGGTGAAAACATTTAAAGCTACTCGTATATATATATATTAAGTTACTAGGCCGGGCACGCTGGCTCACGCCTGTAATCTCAACACTTTGGGAGGCCGAGGTGGGCAGATCACGAGGTCAGGAGATCGAGACCATCCTGGCTAACACGGTGAAACCCTGTCTCTATTAAAAATACAAAAAATTAGCCGGGCATGGTAGCGGGCGCCTGTAGTCCCAGCTACTGGGGAGGCTGAGGCAGGAGAATGGCGTGAACCCGGGAGGTGGAGTTTGCAGTGAGCCGAAATCACGCCACTGCACTCCAGCTGGGAAACAGCGAGACTCCATCTCAAAAAATATATATATTTATATATTTTTAAATATATTTATATTTATATATTTTTTTATATTTTTATATATTTTTATATATTTATATATATATATAAAGTTACTAGATATCATTTAAAATCCTGTAAATGGTTACAATGTTTTATCATCTCATTCAAATCCTATCTGAAAAGCCTATGCATTGGGTACATGGGTTAGGCACTATTGAAAGAGTGTTAGATAGAGTCCTATACTCCGACACTTTCAAAATTATGAAAACTAAAGAAATGTAAAAGGGTTATCAGCATTTACATGCCATGGCAGCCAAAGGGCAAAGTATTTGGTACGGAAGCCGGTGAAGAGGGAATTTGGACGACTGCAAATATTGCAAATATTAGAGTATTAACTTTGGTATACTTGGTGCAAGTCTGATATAAAGAGGAGGTTTGTTCCGTTTTTCACTTTTCTTATTTTACAGGAAAGCACTTTCCACTGGACTGTGTCCAAACCAGCATCTGGCACCTGGGGAAGGGAGGGTTCAAACACACTGCACATGAAATATAAATAAAAGTTAGAGAATTGTGGATGCGGCAGGCCTTGGTTAGAAGCCAAATATCACAGCTGCCTTTTAAAGGGGTGTGGAAAGAGGGGATTTGCAATGGAAACGATCCCAGAATCATAATTGTAGTGGGTGTTACAAGAAGCCCAAGGAGAGTTGTTTGGCATCCTATGAAGAATTAGCCAGTGTCCTCTGGGTTACAGAAATCTCTCTCTCTGTGTATGTGGTTCACTTAAGGAGAATGTCCCCACTGGTGTTTAGCTAGCGATGTTACATGAATTGACTTGGCTATTCTGAAAATTATTGTTTTAAAATATGTATAAATGAGCCTCAACATGCATCGCACTCTGCAGAACATATTACAGAGTTTTCTCTTCAGAAATTGCATTAGAAGGCACAGGAAGTCACACAAAATACACACAGCACAAATATATACCTGTCACTTTTAAGATGCATAAATCACAGTCCTTGGTCTTTAGAAATAGTAGCACACGTGATGTAGGCCGGGTGCGGTGGCTAACACCTGTAATCCCAGCACTTTGGGAGGCCGAGGCGGGTGGATCACCTGAGGTCGGGAGTTTGAGACCAGCCTGAGCAACATGGAGAAACCCCATCTCTACTAAAAATAAAAAAATTAGCTGGGTATGGTTGTGCGCACCCATGGTCCCACCTACTCAGGAGGCTGAGGTGGGAGGATCACCTGAGCCCGGGAGGTCAAGGCTTTCAGTGAGCCGTGATTGTGCCACTGTACTCCAACTTGGGCGACAGAGTAAGACCCTGTCTCAAAAAAAAAAAAAAAAAAAATTAGCTGGCATGGTGGCGCATGCCTGTAGTCCTAGCTACTCAGGAGGCTGAGGTGGGAGGATCGATTGAGCCCAGGAGGTCAAGGCTGCAGTGAGCCGTGATTGTGCCACTTCATGCCAGCTTGGGCGACAGAGTAAGACCCTGTTTTTTTAAAAAAATACTACTATTACTAATAATAATTGGCCAGGCGTGGTGGCTCACGCCTGGAATCCCAGCACTTTGGGAGGCTGAGGCAAGTGGATCACAAGGTCAGGAGATTGAGACCGTCCTGGCTAACACAGTGAAACCCCGTCTCTACTAAAAATACAAAAAATTAGCCGGGCGCAGTGGCGGGCGCCTGTAGTCCCAGCTACTTGGGAGGCTGAGGCAGGAGAATGGCGTGAACCCAGGAGACGGAGCTGGCAGTGAGCTGAGCTATTCTCCTGCCTCAGCCTCATGAGTAACTGGGACTACAGGTGCCCACCACCACGCCCAGCTAATTTTTGTATTTTTAGTAGAGACGGGGTTTCACCATGTTGGCCAGGCTGGTCTCAAACTCCTGACCTCAGGTGATCCACTCGCCTCAGCCTCCCAAAGTGCTGGGATTACAGGTGTGAGCCACCGCACCCGGCCTGAGATACCAGTTTTATTGCTGTAGTCTAGAACCAAACTTGCAATGTCTTGAGGTATGCCTGTATATAAACACACAGAAACGTATTCATAACCAAACAAGTAGGAAATATTCATGAACATTCTAGCCCGTGTTTTT